GAAAACTAAAACTGGAATACTGCTTTGGACATCAAAGTGGCTCTAACCTTTAAAAGGTTTTCCAGCTAAATAGCAGCTCCCAGAGCTACCGTGACACGCACACCTCTGAAAGCAGAGTAAAGTGCTACAAAACAAACAAATTCATCGTCTTGGTTAATTTGGGTGTATCAGTCACGCCACTTTGAGCAGTGGAAGCAAACAGTGTGCATTACAAGCAGCAGGAATACTTGCGAATGCACTTCACTCTCCCCCGCCTCTCAGACTGGAGCAGGGCAAAGGAGAGGGTGAAAAGACGGAGAGGGGAGAGAAGGGAGAGCTCAGAGAGCTCACCTGCTTTACCGAGAGGCTCAGGGCGAAAGAAAAAAAAGGAAAATAAAATTGTACTAACAAACTGATTTCTTTGCCTTTTCATTGCCTCGCACCTCCTCCACCACCCCCAGCTTCTTCTTTTCTCCTCGTCTCAATCCTCCTTTACCCCCTCGGGCCTCTTCTCACACCTCCCCCCTCACTCCTCAGCTGTTTTTAGGACAGAGTCGTCTCCGAGGATCTTGCAGAGCTCGTTGAGGCGACTCTGCATCTCGGGAATGCCGGCCAGCTGGGCCTCCAGCCGCTGCTTCTCCTCGGTGAGGGAGAGGCGCGTTGCCGTGTCCAGCTGCTCAAAGCGCCAGCCTCCTTCCCCGTCAAACTGCAGCAGGTGGGTGTGGTACTTCCTGGAGGTGGGGAAGAAGGATTAGAAACAAAGAAAAGATTTGCTTCCTACTACACTCTGAAGAAGCTTGTCTGCCACCAACTACATTAGCATTTATGGACCAAAACATTCCCCCAGTGTGACGAGGCTTACCACAGGGAGGGTCTGTGTGTGATGGAGAGCAGGGAGATGCCGGCATCTTTGGCGGCCTGGAAAATCTTTCCTTCCACGTCAATGCTCACAGCGCTGGTGCACTCATCCAACAGGGCGTATTTAGGCCTGACAGAGGCAGAGGAAATGGTTTTAAGTTGGTGCTGTGCATCCACTCCATGCAATCTGATTGGTTATGATATACACCCATAAACAAGATCCAACTGTTACAGCAGATGAACTATAGTTTTAAAGGGGCTACTTCTAGAGTAGCTTAGCATGATTCCAAGTTCAAAGTAAGCCTATGTTATCTCGTACTAGGCTTCAGTGGAGCTCACTTTATCCTCTGAACCAAGCTGTCTTAGCTTCTTTCTTTAGGGCAGCTTTCCTGTGATTGGCTGCCATTTGCAAACACATGATTTGCAAACAAGAGGGTGTGGCCTCTGAGCTCCCAGCCATAGCTGTGTGCCTGTGATAGTCATAATAAAGTCCTCTCTATTAGTAATAATATGTAAACGTTGAAAAAACACACTTTAGTTTACTCTTCAGCATTCGATTTCTTAACAGTAATTCATTCTGTGAAAACAGCCAATGGGCTACAAGCTAAGAAATGTTAACCCACAGGCTTTTTCTCCTTACCTGTGGTAGAACATGCGGGCCATACCCATCCTCTGCTTCTCACCTCCTGACAGCACATCCTTCCAGTCCAGCTCAGCATCCCAGCCTGAATAAAAAAGGAGGTATTGCAGAGTAAGCAAGATGTTTTTTAAGTGTTCTTTTCTTCTAATGAACCTCTGAACTAAAAGATTATCACCAGGATTTAACTGTTTTTAGCCTTGACCATGAGAGGAAATAAGAATGTGTTTGTAAACACTTGTGTGGATCACTAACTGCACCATCTTGTGGTGCAAGTTGGTATAACATGAAAGCACAGCCAGACCCTAATTCAGCATCAGCTGTTATCCCTTCAGCACCATACAGAGCTGCAAAAAGTATTTGCCTGATTGCTTATTTTTGTATATTTGTCACACTTACACGTCTCAAACCACCATCGCACAAATTTTGATACTATACAAAGATAGAGTAAATACAAAATGCAGTTTTTAAATGATGATTTCATTTATTAAGGGGAAACCGCTATCCAAACTAACCATCCTGGGCCACCCTTGTCAGCAGGGCTGCAATCAAGTGTTGCGATGATTCAGTTCAATGACAACAGTCGCCTCAAGGCGCTTTATATTGTAAGGTAGACCCTACAATAATACACACATAGACAAACCCAACAATCATATGACCCCCTATGAGCAAGCACTTTGGCGACAGTGGGAAAGAAAAACTCCCTTTTAACAGGAAGAAACTTCTGGCAGAACCAGGCTGAGGGAGGGGCAGGGCCATCTGCTGCGACCGGTTGGGGTGAGAGAAGGAAGACAGGATAAAGACATGCTGTGGAAGAGAGCAAGATATTAATAACAAGTGCAGAGATTCGGTGCAGAGAGGTCTATTAACACATAGTGAGTGAGAAAGGTAACTGAAGAAGAAATACTCAGTGCATCATGGGAATCCCCCAGCAGCCTACGCCTATTGCAGCATAACTAAGAGAGGATTCAGGGTCACCTGGTCCAGCCCTAACTATATGCTTTAGCAAAAAGGAAAGTTTCAAGCCAAATCTTAAAAGTAGAGATAGATGACTGGCAATGACTCTTTCACAACGTTGTGGAGGAATTCTGTTGCACTTTTCTTCGCAGAATTGATCAAATTTGGCTCCATTGGAAGGTTCTGAGCAGGAGTGGCCTCTTTACGGTCATACTAATGTCTCTCAAATTGGTATTTGAGTAGGCCACTCCAAAACTTTCACTTTGCTTTTTTGAGCCATTCAGAAGTAGAGTTGCTGGTGTGTTTTGGATCACTGTCCTTGCTTGAGTTTAAGGGCATTAACTGATTGCTGGACATTCTTCTTCCTCTCTGGTAAAAAGCTGAAATCATGGTTTCATCTACTATAGCAAGTCGTCTTGAAGGAGCAAAGCAGCCACGGACCATCACACTACCACCACCATGTTTGGCTGTTGGCATGAAATGCTTTGTTAGTTCCAAAAAGTTAAACTTTTGTGTCATCAGCCCACAGAATATTTTACCAAGAGTCTCGCGGATCATCAGGATGTTTTTTGGCAAATGTGAGACGAGCCTTTGTGTTATTTTTGCAAGTCAGACCTGCAATGCTTTAGATGTTGGAGTGATTTTGGTACGCCACTCAGTCCTCGGAAGCTTCACCAGTGTTTTCTCCAAGTTTTCTCTAGTTGTGGATAATGACTCGCACTGTGGTTCACTGGAGTCCAAAGTCTCAGAAATGACCTTGTAACCATTTCCATAGTGATACAGTAGATGCCAATGACCGTGTTACTTATCTGCTCTTTAGATTGTGACATGATGTGTTGCTTTCGAGATCTTTTAGCCTACTTCACTTCATGTCCTATTTAAGTGTTTTCTAGATTTAACACGTCTGGTATTATTCTGGGTGTGACTGGTGAAATTGTAAGCAGCTTTCCAAAAAATGTGTCTAATCACATTTAATTTATGATTTAACCAACGGTCCCCAACCCTCAACTCAAGTGTTCTACAGTCTGTATATTTCAAAATGAGATTACAATAGAAGAAAGGGAAGTGTAGATAATTATAACAGCAGTCCTCAACCCTCGGGCCACGAACTGGTACCAGGCCGTGAGTCGTTTGGTACCGGGCCGCGAGAGTTGAGGCTCGGGTGGAAATTTATGTTTTTCAGGGTTTTTATCGTTAACTCGGTTTCCCTGGGTCTTTTCCTGTGTTGTAGTTGTGTGTCTTATTTTGAAAGAAATATTTATGTGTTACCATAGCGACCAGTGAGCATTAAGGGGCAGAGAAGAGGATGTTACTCTAAGTGTTGTTAGCACATTTCAGGAGGACGCTGCTAATAAAGTTACACAATTACACAGTGAATTCGGATTATTATTATATTCATAAAAATAACAGTTTTTATCTTGGTCGTATCATTTTATTTTGTTGAATTTATCCACGACACCTTAAAGGCCGGTCCGTGAAAATATTGTCTGACATTAAACCGGTCCGTGGCGCAAAAAAGGCTGGAGACCGCTGATTTAACCTACCTGCCCACCTTTTCAAATAAGGCCAAGTAGGTTAGGATAGCTTTAAACATAAAAAATAAACAAAATCATTTGAAAACTGCATTTTGTATTACATTGTTGCGCTCCACACAGATGTTTTAGAGAAGCAGTAACAGCACTTTTTCAAAGTCTGCTGATAGCTTTAAAAAAGCAACCACAGGAATTTACAACAAGCACATTTTAAGGTGGTGTTAGTTGGATATTGTGGGATTATATATGATGACAGGAAATATTTTTTCTCCTTTGTTATATGAAACATGAAGAAGGCACTTGCACCATGAAAATGAAAACTGCAATACATGACTTCACATTAAATACTAGACTAAACTGTAAAGAGTTAAAGAGAAGACAAAGACTGTGTAACGGACTAATCATCATATCCTATTTGGTTATATTGCATGTCTTTGTGAGCCCGTAATAATGTGACTGCATACACGTGGGCTAATTACCATGAGTAATGCAAACCTTTCTAAACTGTTTCACAGTGCAGCTACTCACGCATTAAACCTTCTTGCGGCGCTAAGCCTGGTACAGTAGTTGGTTCACAACAGTGTAACCATTTGTTCTGCAGGAGGGAGAGAACGGCTGCCAATTTGTCACACACTCAAGTTTAGGAAACGCGAGCTCAAGCTCCTGGCTGATGCACAGTGTGTTTGATCTCAAACACCAGCAAACCTTTTCTTCACAATTAAAGGTTTATAATTAAATGTTTAGGGAGTTTTTGCTTCCCACTGTTGCCAAGTGCTTGCTCACCAGGGGTCATCTGATTGTTGGGGGTTTCTCTGTTTTATTGTACGGTCTTTAACTTACAATATAAAGTACCTTGTGCTGTGATTTAGTGACAAGGTTCCTTTAGCTCAGTAGTTGATTTTAATTTAGTATGTTGAGATTTTTTTCTTATCTGGTGATTGTGTGTCTTGATTTGTGTGGTGAACTGCTGCTCTTTCATGGATAAATAAAAATAAAAGCTGTCTTACCTCCCTCTCTGTTGACAATGTGATTGAGGTTGACTATGGCTAAGATGACCTCTAGGTCCTTGTCATTCATCCCTCTGGCAGCCATGTCCTCCACCGAGTCTGGGTAGATCACCTGGTCCCGCAGTGAACCTATTGACATGTACGGCCTGGGGAAACATAAATGCACATAAGTTGTATCCGTTATGAGCACTAAAGCTCACAAATTGTGTGAAATTTTTTTTTTAGACACTTAAAGAGGAGCTGAAAGAAAAAGATGTCTGTTTTATAGATAGTGTGTTGGATTCTGTTACAGCTGCCAGCTGGCCATCTCATCCTATGTATAAAATATTTACCGCACTGCAGGAGGGAGTCAGCTATGGGTACGATTACATTTGAAGGTTTGGGTAAGACTGCTTCCCACATGGGCGGCAGATCCTTGGTTTGAATCTCGACTGGTTGGCCCATTACCTGCCTGTGCTCTCTGTGTTTCCCTTACTCTCTCCTGTCAGAGTTGCTATATTTATTTCACTGTCTCGCTCTAAAATCAACATAAAAATGATAAAAATGTTATCATGATAACAGCTGCTGCTCCAACTGTTGCAGCTCTTGCTATATAGTAATAAAGGAGAGAGGTTACACATAATGGATAATTACCAAACAACTATAATAATATTTAATTTGATAATATTTATCATATTTAATCATTCTGCAGAGCTAGTATTTTAAACTTAATCTGGACAGTAAATATTTGACTCTGTCCAGAGCTCTGGTTTCTCTCTCAGCTGCACAGGCACACTCAGGTCCTGTTACAATGGATTAGATTACTGCTACGGTTCACTGGTACAATGATCAAACCCTGCACTTGTTTTGTCTGCTGTGGGACCTGCGATTATTGAGAGTGTGCATTTGTGCGTATACCTCTGAGGGATGTAGAACATATGCTGAGGGGAGGGTTTGTGTAGCCGGCCGCCGTAGACAGGCCACAAGCCGCCGAGGATCCTGAACAGAGAGCTTTTTCCACAACCATTAGGCCCTGTGATCAGTAGGTGCATGCTCTCTTCCACCTGAACGGGAGAGACAATTTATTAATTCTCCTGAAGTAGAGCAGGCTGTCAGTGTAATTACAATGCATCACAAGGCCATAAAGCTGTGGAAAAAGCAGGAGTGGTGTTAAACTGTTACACACAGAAAATATGGGCTCGAATTGTGGTCATAAATATTTTGTACTTGTAAATCAGTTTTGTACTTGTAAATCAGGATTTGTATATTTAAAAAGAATTTGTGTGTGCGTAAAAACGATTTGTGTGTATAGCCAAAAAAATACGGGTGAAACTCCAAATTGGTGAAAGTCCAAATTTTGACCGTATTTTTCTTCCTTTCAGCTGATTGGTCAATATCATGTCAATCACAAATGTAACTATCCAATCAGAGAACAGATGTGTTTGGCTGTCGGAGGGGCGCTTTTTTTGAACTATCCCTGAAAAGTGGTTTTGTATATTGAACACAACTTAAAAAAAAAAAATCCAGATGAAAATATATAGAATTTGCAAAATATTATCTTGCACCTGTCAAAAATTAGTATTTAATATCATATTGATATAATAAATGAAATTATTTATTAAGTATCTTTAGATTTCAGTAAATTGTGGCTAATAAAAGTAAAAAAGCCTGATTAATTCATTAATTAAGGCTAAAGTTCTACATATTTAAGGTCTTGGGCACTTGCGCTACAGGCGCTAGCTAGCTTCTCAAGCGTCACCTTAGCTAATTAAAGTCACTGAACTGGAGCTCTCATAATAAGGCTTATGTGGTTAGTTTTACTAACAGACTGTTTAAGAAGCGCTCTTTTTTTGGTGAATGAAATTCTAGTATTACTTCATTCATATTTAAGTACTAATTTGTAAGTATGGTATATGGCTACAGCTTACTAGCCAAACTAGCTTGTGTTAGCTGATAACATGGCACGCCCCAATCTCGTATAAATACGCTGATTTTGGCTCAAGATTAAAAACGTAGTGATGTCTATAAGGCAAATGCTTTGAAACATTAGGCCACAGCACACATTACAACTCTATCATTAGTCTTTATAGCTTTAATCCTTTTGCTAACGTGGTTAACCACGGTTTCCATGGCGAGAAACCAAATATAGAGCCTCATTCATAAACGATGGGTAAAAACGTTTCACACACAAATTTATGATTCTTATTTTCTCTATTTTCATGCATGACTATGCATTTGAAAATATATTACACACCACTCTTATTGCTACTTATACTACTGCTAATTATTATTATTTAATTTTGGTCAATATTTACAGTTTTACAAAACAACATTGGCTAAAAATGTTTAGAATTAGAATACAAAACTTAATAATATGATATTAATTTACATGTTACAATGCAAATTAATAATTGAAAATATGTAGACTTTAAACACACTTTTACAGGGTTATCTTATCATATGGGTCACTCTAAGTTTCATATGAACCTAAATGTCAAAATGTTCCTTTTTTTCCTTTTACTTGTGGCACAGTGAGTGTCTCAAGTTTAATGATATTCAACACCCCCATTATTTCAGCCAGCTCTTCATCCTCAGACACTATTACCCATCCTGCTTTTTTGCCTTAGTGAGCATGCTCTTCACCTGTATGCAGCTTGCTGTATGCAGATTACATGCAGTGATCTGTCCCATAAATCTTGCAGTAGTTTTGCATGTGCACTTGTTTTTTCGTGCAGGGTAAGAACTAAAAAAAAGAACTTAAAAGAAAAAAAAAAGATCTTCAGTTTTTCAAAAAGCTGCCATTTAAAGTTTGTGTATAATATTTATATTGAAGCTGACATTTTTAAGCACAGCATCAGCGTCTTTTTCCGTTATCAGCTCAATGTCAGCGGCGTACTCTTGTGTAACGACCTCAGGCCAACATATATAATTGGAGCCTGGTGCAGTCTGCACAGAGGTCTGTTTGCCTGTGGTGTTTGAAAGAGATAAGCTATTCTTATTCATTTGTAATGATTACAAAAGCTGATTCTTTTGATGTCTCGAAAAGCATTTTTATCAAAAACATTATTATGTCAGCGTTTCCTATTGTTGCCTCCTAACAAAAGAAGTCAGCAGGTCAGAACTGGAATGAGAGACACGTTTTGTCTGGTATCAAATTATCAGCGATGAAATCATGCTAACTCAATTATCCACGTACAAAGAACAGATGAAAGGATCAGCAGACCCTCAGCCACTTTTGAGTGAAAAAAACAGAACCTGTGCTGAATGGATGAGCAGATCTTTGCAGCAGATTCACATCTATGATATGAGCGTTGTGCATTATACCCTGCATCCAAATAAAACTGGAACATCTGATCTGTGATTTCCACCACCATGAAATCCTCATGAGGTGAATATAGTGGGGAGCAACAAGTTGACACCCAAAGGATGTATCTGCTTTCTAATGAGACCCTGGGCCGTTGTTTTTAAATGCTAATAAATTCTACACGGACCAAAATCCTCAGGAGTGAAGTCAGGCCTGGACTATCAGTTAAAGTGGAGCTCAGAAGGAAAAAAAAGATCAGCCACCTTGAAGTTTAGGCAAGATACTACAACGTCTCCGTTTGGTGTGATGATCGGGACGTTCTCACACACGATGCCCTTGTCCACATCAATCACTTCGCCTGCAGAAACACAGAAACAGAGAAAAAGGATCAGGAACTAGTGATTGTGTATTTGAGTAACAGATTGGACTCTGTGTCTTTACCACTTCACTTATTCATTAGCTTAGCATTACCCTCTAACATAAGATGCTTTCTATTAGAGTGTATCCAACCTTTGGCCATTTAGTTTATTGATTTCTTATAATGTAAGCTGATCTGTAAGTTGGCCCACATAAGGTTTGTGGAGTTCATAAAATCTGGTCAAACATTATAAATTAGCAGCAAAACTTGAGCCTGAAGTTAGCATGTAAGACAAATTCTGTTATTGATTTGAGTGAGGCAACTGCCGAAGCTATATGCTATAACTCATTGCTGATTGTTGCTAATTTGGACAACAGAATGGATTGGATAATTGTTGGCAGACAGATGTTGTTGGGGAATGAACTGAGCGTTTACCGTTGACTATGTTTTGACCTGAACCAAATCAAAGCCTACTCTGGGCTTCAGGTAGCAGAAGTGGTAAAAGCAACAGAGGTTGTTATGATGGCAACCTCCTCCTCTTCTGTTTTTATTTTGTACAGACAAAGAGGTGTTGTGTGTACACAGCGAGCTACCCTGTATTTCCAGCGGTCCGTCTATGTGCATCTCAGGCTTGCTCTTCTTCTCCGTCGTCGTTGTGGCTGACACAGAAGAGCGCTTGTAAATGCCCTTCTGGACGTCCTCGAATACGACAAACATGTTGTGGACCCTCGCAGTGTAGCCTGCCAGCTCCGTGACCTGTCCCAACAAACACACACGGGTCAGTCCATCTCTGGTAGATGTTAGTGTCGCCACCATCGTGATAAAGATCACGATCATGGCCATGTGCCTGATAAAAATGTGACTCCATGAGTGCAGGACTTGGAACATTGATCCTAAGCTAGGTTTCATTTTAACCTCGGCTGCTGCGTCTGCAGTAGCCATGAAGTACATTCAGTGCCCCCGTTGACAGGAAGTTGTTCCTCCTCAACATCTCCTGGTGCTTGCTTATATTAAATAATTAAGGTTTTTATATGTTCTGATGAAGGCCACAAGGCTATAACATTAACATGTCTGCTGGCATGGCCAAAACAAATTGGCAAAATGAAGATCTGTCAGTACGTTTTCCTAAAGTTTGTGTCAGTAGACAAGCAGACTTAGAAAAAGGTTTTGAATCTGTGTAAAATATAAAAACAGAAAAACAGAATGAAATCATTTACAAATTGCATAAACCTGTATTTTACTCACAAAAAAATACAGATAACATATCAAATGTTTGAGACTACTCATTCGTTAAAGCTGGGGTGGGTACTCATTCAAAATGAAACTTTTCTGCAGTCAGAGGAATCGAAATCTGACTAAAAACAGGGACCATATGGAGTGTTATCAGTGCTCAGTTTAAAAGCCTCTCTGATGATATGAAGGTGTTTTAGTGCCTGTGGAATTGGCAGCATGCACATCTGAACACTATAAATGTTGAAAGCTATATCCAGGTTTTAGAGAAACATTTGCTCCCATCGAGATGACGTCTTTTTCAGGCAAGACCTTGCACATTTCAGCAAGACAATACTAAAGCACATAAAATATCTTTCAGAATCTGGAGGCTGAACTTTTTATCAGATGACAAAGGCCCAGAATTGTTGAGCAGCCAGAATCGTACACTCAAAAAAATAACTCTTTGATTCTTTCATTTTGGACTCACTCCCGACGCTTGTTGTACGGCCTTGTAAAGCACACAGTAGTGTGACGATGTAATCCAAATGTTTTTGTGACACCATCTGAAACACAACCAGCTGACGTGTCGTTATTTTCTCTCTCCTCGTCGCGTGATTGATTCCGATGTACAAGATTTGTGTTGGTGTCTGTCATTTTTAAGTAATTATAAGTTGTTTATCTGTTTGTCATATGTGAGTAGAGGGAGTTTGTTAAGAGAACAGTCACAGTTGACCCAATAAAGAGAGTTCAGACCGGTTCTGGTATTGTGATTCCAGATGCTTTGGTTTGAATTTGAGGAAAGCTCGCAGGTTCAGTCAGAACAACAATCCTATGATTTCTTCTTTCACGTAATTAAATTGCTTTATTTTAGCATTATGCAATTCTGTTATTCCAACTTAATGTACTTGAGTTGGACTAACTTGATTAATTAATGATGAATCAACTGTTTTACTACAGTTGTGTCCAACTTATTTTAATCGATTTGATCCAACCCATGCAAATTACGTTAGTGCAACAAAACAGACATTCGTA